TCCGGTGGATTAATTCCTCCGCTAGCCAGGCCTCGTAAAATGCACTTCCAAGTACTCCGCGTCCTCCGCAAGATGATCTAGCCACGTGCGACGAATCTGTAATCCTGGTGATGTAAATGCCACAACCAAAGCAGCAGCTTCATCTGAACAGGAGAAGCCTGAGAATCGAAGGATATAGGGTACTAAACTGCCGCCGGGCCCAGGCCCATTGCAAGCACCGGAAACAGCAGACTGTACGCGCTTACGCCCGGAAGCGGTGCCGAAAGCCAGCTCACATGCACCGGAGCGGCGGACGTCGACAACCTGCGGCACGTAGGTTTGACCCCACGGGCCGTGCAGCCCAGGCTGAGGGCTAGAGACTAGAGAAGGCCGGTCACCGATCGGAGGCTTGACAGACCCAAACGGAGGCCGTGCAGAGCCTATACGTCTCGACGAGAAAAACCTACCGCACACAAACCTAGCATGACACTGGAAACGCGGTGTTTGGATGCACAATGCACATGCCGCACACGGCAGTGGTGCCGGGGATCTAACCCTCTGTGGAAGAAGTGCACTCGGGCACACAATGGCTCATCTGCCAAATGCTATCCGACCCATAGTGCCGTAGTGCCGTGTGGCACAAATAAGCGGCGGCAGCCCAAACAGGGTGGGCAGGCGGGCGCAAGAAAAGCGAGAAGACAAATCAACACAAGACACTGGCAGCCAGGCAGTGCTGCAAACTCATGCATGGCGAAGTGGCAAACGGTTCATGTGCTAGTTAAGGTTTGTGGCACGTGCTGGCCGAATGCCCACCCCAGCGCGACCCGACCGGGCGGCAGGTGCAGGGGGTTGGCCCAGACGCAGGGAGGCGTCGCATGCGACGCGGGAGCGTTCTCGAGCTGCAGCGTTACTGTGACCGTGCTTGTGAGGTTCGTAGTCAAGCACGACGTGATCGGCGCGCCTGGGGACACTGCCGCAGGTTGCCATGGCGCAGCAGGTCGAAGGCGGGGTCCGCCATGGGTCTGGCCACCGCCCCAGCAGACGTCTACTTGCTAGTTTGGGGCGTGCATGGCCCTGGCAAGCCGTCCTGCTCGAAACGGAGTGGCAGCAGGCCCGGCTTTTCGACCTCCGGGTTCAGACCGGCGGCTTGGGCGCGAGCACGGTGCGCAACCGGTTGTGGCGTTTCGTCCTGTCGCCACCGCAGGGGCAGCTGTGGGCGTGGTCTTCAAATCTTTCGGCGACCCCATCCAAGAGCGGGCAGGCCACGTCTTCTGTCGCGATAGGCAGGCGTAGGTGGAGCTTGACCAACACACGGAAGAGGTCTGGGGCAATGGCACAACCTTCGAACCTTCGCCTAAACTCAACTCTAATCCGGAGACCCTCGAAGCTGTGGAAACCTTAGCACCCGAAGTTTTACAACTCTGCACCGACAACGCCTCAGCCAACGAAGGGCCCTGAAGTACCCACCTTTTTCAGGACGTATACGATGAAATCATAGCAAGCAACCCTAAACAGGTAGGTTGCATATGGTTCAAGTTGGCCCTAAACCTAAGGAGGAAAGCCTGGTAAGGGCGCTGATCTTGGTCGCGACAGCCGCTGTACGCTGGCCCGCTGTGTTGCGACCTCCCAAGAATGAGGGCCGATCATCATCACCATCACCATTACCATCACCATCATCATCATCGTCATCATCATCACCATCACCATTGTCATCATCACCATCATCATCTCTGCTTTGTTGACCTGATCTCAGTATCATCATTACCAGCCTCCTTCATGATGATGCTTGACATCGTCATCACCACAGCCACCACCAACACGACCATCGTCACCATCATCATCGTCATCATCATCAGCATTGTCATCATCATCGTTATCATAATATAATAGTATTCATGATAATTATGCTTAGCATTGTCACTGTTGCATGTTATTGTTATCATCGTCAGTGTTTTGAAGGGGGTTAAGGGTTTGTGCAGGGACGCCCGTTGCAATGTGGCTAGCTCGGCACGGGCTTACAAACGACTTGAGAATGCATAGATATCATCTGGAGGCTCCACGATTGAGACAAGTGCTTGCTGCAAACTGCTATCAGGTTGGCCGTCTATAAGTTCTTGGACCTGAACCCGAAGCACCAACACGCGTCACGGTTCATGTTAAGCGGTCTTCGAGCTGTATGTAGAGTGCTGGAAGGGTGTAGAGATCAGGCTGCAAGACCTCACTCACCCAACCCTAAACCCTAAACCCTAGACGGCCCGAAACCCTAAACAGTCTGAACACCTCCACTGCTGTGGGCCCAACTTGAGCTCCTAGTTCTCCCGCGCAAAAGAACCAGAAAGGTCTGGTCCAGGCTTCTTGTTAAGGCTTGACCTTAACCCGAAAGAACCTACCCTTTTAAGGACCTATAAAACTTATATAAGGAAATACAGGCCCTATAAGGCCCCAGTACAGCCCTCCGTACCGAGTATGACGGCAACATTGCAGGCTCGATATCTGAGATTCCAGCCATGACTGGGGAGTAGGCCTTTCTGCATCGATGCCTTCACAGGGGCTGCGGGATGCAGCTGGGGGCGAGGGGGTGGGGTGAGGGTTCGGGCAGACTATGCGCAGCTCTCAATGGAAAATGATTATGGTCTTGTGGATTGGGAGGGAGGAAACCTAGACCCTAAGGGTTTAGGGTTTAGGGTTTAGGGTTTAGAGTAACCCCTAAAGCGTGCGACTTACTTATTATGAGGCTTGGGTGCGCAACTACCAGGTTTCAGCCTGCAGGGCTTCGAGTTAGCTTCAACGGATTACCTTCAAGCGGTTTAGGGTTTAGGGTTTAGGGTTTAGGGTTTAGGGTTCAGCTTCGATCGAAGACATGAACTTCTAAACCCTAAACCGATGTCATCCCAAACCCCCAGTCCCAGCACATTTAGAACCCTGCACGGATATACCTTCAACCATCTTTACTTGGAGGTTTATGGGCAGTTATAAGTAGGGCTATATGTAGGGCAACTATAGTTATAACCTATATTAGGGGACTTAGAACTCTACTTATAGCTACCCATGAACCTCCAAGTAGGGTTTAGGGTTTAGGGTTTAGCCTGCTCTTCTTCGAAGCGGCCTGTATGATTTTTCCGTACTGGTTCGTTAGGATGGGCCCCCTGACAGTGAGGAAAAGAAAAACCACGTACCATGAAGAGCAAAGAAGCCTACATGCTTCAGGTCTTCAAGCAGTATACACCTCGATCAAGGTTTAGGGTTGAGGGTACTTCAGGGTTCGCAGTGGAGTACATAGGCTGTAGGCTTCAAGGCTTCTATGCTTACTGTAAACCCTGAACCCTAAACCCTAAACCCTAAACCCTAAACCCTAACCCTAAACCCTGAACCCGCGACCCTTCGACCTTTCCGAAGCACGAACTTCGATCAACGCTTACAGGCCTGAGCATGGAACTATGAGATTCGGGTAGTGACATCTATGGAAACATACTTAACATAGGGGCCTTAATGATTAGAATAGGGTTTTGGGGTACAAGCGGACATGAGTCTGAGGCGACGAAGGATTGAGATGTCTTGTGCATCCATTGAACTCTACGCTGTTCTTTGAGCGTTATGTTCAACCAAGTTTGGAGATGACTCCTTCAATGGCCAATATAAACTAGAATAGGGTTTTGGGGTAAGTTATACTATAGTTGTAAAAATGCAACCCAAAATAGTATCGGTAATTATTTAGACCCCTCTATATTATACTTGTATGTAGTATTGACCCCATGCCGAGCTTTCACAACAGACAAAATAGCAGAAATGGAATTTAATAAAGGACGTAACAATGATCGGAATCCGGATAGATGCTTGTGGAATCGCTTGACCGGCAACAACAGCGCTTGCAAATGTAACATGAACTACAGCCCTATATAGCTTGCATAAAATAAATAGTACCATCTCCAACTGCGGAGCAACCATATCTAGGGCTCTGGGGCTTCATGTGGCCCATGGATGAGCATCGCTCAAAGCCTAAACACTAAACACTGAGATTGAGTTTCATACAGGACTCTTCTGCCAGAAACCCTTATCAAGGTCAAACCTTAAGCGTACTTTGGCGTCAACAGGGTATTCAGGATCTTCGCCGTGGTCGATGCACACAATTGCGACGGGCCTCTGGCGGTACCTGACAGCTGGTGCGGATTTAGGGTATAGGATTATAGCAAACCCCAAAAAGTTGGAAACCGGATTAAGGACACATAGTGCTGGGATTCCCTATACAGTACTCTTCAGCATTGAGGCTATTGGGTTTCCAACTTTTGAGCTTCTAGTGTAGGGCAGGTCGGATGTCGGGCTCCGATACTACTTCAGTCCTTAGCTGCTACATTGTTGCTACATAGTCTCACTAAACTTCGTGTTGCCATCTAGGCGTGTCTTTTGTGTCTTCGTTGCTTTTGGCTGGAGGCTTCGCGAGACAGCAGGAAGGAGTAGAGCCAACCTTGGAGGTTCATGGGTAGCTATAAGTGGAGTTAGAAGTCCCCTAATTTAGGTTTTAACTATAGTTGCCCTACTTATAACCCTACTTATGACTACCCATGAACCTCCAAGAGGGACCTGCTATCTTTTGTTTCTCTCTCTCTCTCTGGCTCTCTCTCTCTCTCTCTCTCTCTCTCTCTCTCTGTTCCACACGCAGACACATCAATTCGCCCTGCTTTTATCAAGTTGGGGGCTATACGGCCTTGTGGGCATGTGAAGTCTCAAGTGTGAAAGGCCATGAAACGTCCACGATAGTCAAGGAGATCGTGCTAGCTGCCATCAATGCGACGGCACATCTTCGGAAGCCCCGACTTGCTCAAACCCCGAACCCCCAAGCCCTGAACCCTAAATCCTGTATACACCTATCTAAACCTGAACTTTGAACCATACATAAACCCTATATGAGCCCTATGTAATTCCCAGTCCTGAACCACTTTATAAACCCTGAACCACCCTAAACCCTAAACCCTGAACACAGTCACCTCGGTGGCTTCGGGATTGGCTTCGCCAGATCCTCACAGTAGAGGCGCTGATCCTGGCAGTTCGGGCGCTAGGGTTTCGGCTGTCGAGTGTAGGCTTACGGTTTAAGGTCTAGTCTTAGAGCTTCGGGTTTAGGGTTTGCGGTTTCGGGTTTAGGGTTTAGGGTTGCTTCGAAACCAATGCTGACGAAGTCTTTTATCGAAGCCTAGATCGGGGATCCCTACCTCATCACTCCTGGCAGTTCAGCGGCTGTGGGCCGAGAACTAATGTAGGGGCCTTAATAGTGAGAATAGAGTTCTGGGCCCGTTTATAGTATAGAATTTAATTAGGAACCTAAGGAATAACATGGGTAGTACTTATTTAGGCTTTAATATTAGGGCCTTTGCGGATTTGGCGGCCTGCGGATCCACAACTCCGTGCAAATGACTCGGGCTCCAGTGCCAGGAGCAGTCTTCTGTTATGGTATGTAAGCATATGCTGTTCTTATGTATTTCTGTATATGCTACGTATTGATCCGTTCATGTAGCCTTTCAAGTATTTAACTTGATGAATATTATACACACATACATCTTAGAAGAGTATATGTGAAGTTTAGAAGGATGTTTGGACCAGCCATGTCAGCTCTCCCACCGAACTCTACAAACGGCAAGAAGGCAGAGCGTACCAACCATAAGTTGATAGACCCTAAAATATGACCGCGCTCAAGACCCTCAATCCTACTTCCTAAACCACAATCCAAAGCATCTGAAGATTCCAAACTCTGGAATCGTAAAGTGCCGAAATCGTCGGTTTATGATTATACGGATTGCTGGCTGAGAACTTGAAGACGTGCTGGTGTAGGTCTTTAGGGTCGGGTACCGGGGATTCAGGGTCAGTACCCTAAAAGCTAAAACCCAACCAACCCTTGTGAGCGATAAACACTTAAGACGTGGTGTTAGTGTTGCGGCTGGTATTCATCTCTACTGTCCCTGTTTGGGGGTCTTGCTTGCGTTCTTGCTCCTACTCCTGCTTTTGCCCTTGCTCCTGCTCTTGCTCGTGCTCCTGCTCTTGCATGTCTGGGTTCTGATCACTTCCCGCCAATCCAACATGGTTTTCAAAATGCGGTGCTGTTCTTAAGACGGATTTTCCGGAAAACATGTGATTATGAGCATGGCGCTTGATAAATTCGATAGAAGTTTTGGAGTGCAGTGAAGATTGCAGTTTGGGCAATGAACTAGCACTAAATGCTTCTGACCCTAAATCCAAGACCCCTCAACCTTATGTCCCAAAAGCCGGAACCCGAACATTCGACCACCGACTTCCCTTAAAACCCAAACCCGAACCCCTAAACTGCATGCATGCCTGCATTTCGCAGCCTGAATACCTATAACATGGTTCCGGGGTATGTCCTAGTATGCTGTTTAAGGAGCCTTGAGCCGCAATAGTACTACAAAGTCTTCCGACTCCTATGTTAGGCTAATGGATATAGTGCTATAGCTCTTCCGACTCCCACATTACCCCTAAACCCTAAACCCTGCACCCTAAATCCTAAACCGACCTTCGCACTCATGGCAGCGGCAGCCGGCGTCGATCGCGCCTTCTGCTGCTGCTGCACCTGACGCGCTAAATTTAACCCTAAAAAGCCCTAGGCCCTACAAGCTCGAAGCTACGTGCTAAACCCTACATGTAAAAACCCTATATATGAGCACTAAGCCCGAAACCCTAAACCCTATAAGCCCTATAAACTCTACAAGTAAAAACCCAATATATAACAACACTAAACCCTAAACCCTACACCCTACAAGTAAAAACCCTATATACGAGCACTCTCGAACCAATGGGGCCCAGAAGCCTGGAACTAAACCCTAAACCCTACGCCCTACAAGTAAAAACCCTATATACGAGCACTATCGAACCAATGGGGCCCAGAAGCCTGGAATGTCTGTAATATAGAAGCCTAAGAAATTACCTATACTATTTTGGGGGTTCCTTATTATCGTTATAGTATCATGGGCCCAAAGCTCTTGTACTATGCTGAATTCCAGATACCTATACTTTACTAGGGTTACATACCTTAAGGACGAAATGAACCCTAAACGGCTTAAGGTTGATATACCATAGTAGGGATTCATGTATAAGGTGTAGGGTCCATAATTTTAAGGGTCTTTTGGTCCGTAAGGTAGCTATAACTCTCACGATTTAGGGACCGGGCTGAGAGGTGGAGTGTAAGACTTGCGGATTGCAGTTTGCTTCCGTCAGCCTGTTGCATGTTGGCGTTGGGGCAATGGCCAATGGTTTAGGGTTTAGGGGTTTAGGGGTTAGGGTTTAGGGTTTAGGGTTTAGGCAATATAGGGGCCTTATTACAAAACCCAAACAAACAGAGATGAATCGAATCACTCAACCACGAAAAAATCAATCTGTACATAGTATGTGTTCATGAGGAACCTTAATCAGGAAATAGTTTTCAGACCTCTACATCATCCGGTATGTTTCTGAAGCCTAGAGCCCGGGTCACTGTAGGGCTTTTTGGGGACTCTGCACGGTTTAGAGTCTTATAGGCGTCTTGAAGAAGAAACAAAACAGTCCGCAACTGCCCGCTGGCTAGGTTCTAGCTGTCGAAATTAGTTAAAGTTCCTCCATCTCTGTCCTTCAAGACCGAAGTTCCATCGTCCATATGGCACGTCAGAGACTTCGTTAACGGTGCTCTCCACCTGCCTTCGCTCTGCACAGGCTTTCATCTCACCACCCTCGACCCCTGGTCCCAAAACCTGCACTCCAAAACATGCCCTCCAACTGCTGGCACTTAAAAACATTTCCCGACCGCAGCTACTACAGCATGCAGAACCTTCCCGCTACAAGCCGGTCCTTCTTGAGCTCGTCCAACAGGTTCTTTGCACTGTAGGGCTTTCGCGGTGGCCACTTGGTAACGGTCAGTCTGTCCGTGAGCTCCTGAATGTTTCGAGGCAATTTGGCCGCTGCTGCAGCAGCTGCGACAGCTGCAAATGGCAATGCTAGGAACGAGTACGTAGTAGTCGTAGCAGGAATAATCGTCGTCGTCGCCGTAGCCAAGGGTCCAAAGGACCCAATACTCAGGTACTTAGGTTTCGGATAGTAGTTATGTAGGTTACTATTTGGGAGTGTATATGATAATTAGGGTACTTGGACCCTAAGGGTAAGAGTGCGAGCTGAGCATGAGCATGAGCATCAGCATGAGCAAGATTTGAGCATGAGTATGAGTATGCGTATGAAGTATAGGTCGGGGTAGGACCAGGGGATGATAACAAGTATCAGCAGCAGCATCTGTAACACGTTGAACTTCAAGTACTTATATTAGTATTACTGAGAGTAGTATGAGTCACCGTGAAGTCTGAGAAGTCGAAGTGGTAGCAGTAGCAGTAGTAGCAGTAGTCGTCGTCGTCGTCGTCGTTGTCGTCGTCGTGGTAGTAGTAGTAGTAGTAGTAGTAGTAGTAGTAGTAGTAGTAGTAGTACTAGTAGTAGTACTAGTAGTAGTACTAGTAGTACTAGTACTAGTACTTTACTAGTACTAGTACCAGTACTAGTACTAGTACTACTAGTCACTAGTCGTCGTCGTAGTAGTCGTAGTAGTAGTAGTGATAGTAGTAGTAGTAGTAGTAGTAGTAGTAGTAGTGGTAGTAGTAGTAGTAGTAGCAGTAGTAGTAGTAGTAGTAGTAGTAGTAGTAGTATCAGGAGTAGTAGTAGTCGTCGTCGTCGTAGTCGTAGTCGTAGCAGTAATAGTAATAGCAGCAGCAGCAGCAGCAGCAGCAGCGGCAGCGGCAGCAGCAGGAGGAGTAGTAGTAGTAGTAGTAGTAGAAGCAGCAGCACCACCATCACCAACACCACAAACACCAGCACAGGCAGCAGCAGCAGCAGCCGCGGCGGCAGCAGCAGCAGCAAACACGAGCCAGACCTGAAAATGCAGTAACTAGGGTCGGGGGCTTTGCGTGGAGTTCAATGGCAGGAGAACTTCCCTCTGTTAGGATTTCTAGAGGCGGGCTCCTTGGCACGTGCTCTCGACATTTTCGGCGCCGACGAGGCGCGCCAGGGGGGAGGACCTCAGACTGCAAAGACGGTGGGTTTAGGGATATAGGGTCTTAGGGTTTAGGGTTTAGAGAACCTACAGTGCTCCTCGGCACAAGTGTGCCGCTGTTCAGTATCCTACTATGCCGGCATGACCATCACACCACGAGACGAAACCCTTCAAGCAGCCATGGGAACTTTACTAGATCCTGTAGGAAATTAGGGTTTAGGATGGGTTCAGGGTTTAGGGTTACTAGATCTAGGTTCCCCAGCAACAATAAGCTCTTCTTTGTTTCCTGCTGTTTGGTTTTAATATGGGAACCCACAAACAAAAGGGCCAAAGGGAGATCCCGCAGGATCCCCAAAAAAGGGGGGGCAGATCTCATCTTGCATGGAATTCTAAACTCCCTAAACCGCTAAACCCCCTAAACCCGAAGCCCCCTAAACCCTAAACCCCTAAACCCTAAACCCCCTGAACCCTAAACCCCTACACCCTAAACCCCGTAAACCCTACAACCCAAACCCACAAGGTAATCAAACTAGCGAGCGAGGACGGATAATGATCGGGATGCACGGAGTGGTTTAAGGCGCAGGGCTTAGGTGTAGGTTGGGGAAAGACTTGGCAATGCCGGAGTTGTTGCATCTGCTCCATGACGTTTTGGTCGGAGAGGTCTCATGAACAATCCAAAAACCCCTGCACAACATCCAAACACCCCGGCACAACATCCCAAACCCCAAGCAATGCAGCTGTCTGCGTGTACCTTCTTGACGGAGTATGTCCTGTATTACGAACATGAACTTTTTTGGGGGGGTCTTGGGGATACCGAGAACCGAGACCTCCCGGCCTACTTTGCCATGCTTTCGCCTGCTTTACCAACAACACGAAATCGAGGACGTGTGCTAGGGCACCCTAAACCCTAAACCCTTGTGAAATCGGACCTGTCAGGCTGAACATGTTCGTGCACTTTCAGAAGGAACGACCGCCCACCATCAGGCTCGAGGGTCCTTAGGGCGGGAGGGTCGTGGTGTCGCGGAGCGACACATGGCCCCTTGAGCTTCACGATCAGTGGGACTGGCAGGAAAACAACTGCGCCGGGCGCTCTTGATCTTTCGGGGAACGATCGGGTACTGACGGGGTCAGTCTTCATTCATTCCTTTCTTTTGGACAACTCATTTCTGGATATTCCTTTTCTTGGCAGGGCCAAGGGGTTGCTATCAGTGGGAACTCGCATCGAGTTCACACTGGTAGCGGAGCCCGGAGCTTCGCTTGGTGGCGAAAAAGCTGGTGACCTGGTGAGATAGAGCTTCGGAGATGCCGCCGACACCGGCAGCCTCTTCGGCTGCTCCAGAGCAAGCCCCCATGGCTTCTGAGGGGCAAAGCGTTCAGCTTCCGTGGCAGGCGATTCCGAAGTTTATTCCAGGGACAACAGATGTTACTGAGTACTCAAAGAAGCTCGAGTTCCTGGCGGCTATGTGGCCGAAGGACAGCCTCTCCTTGTTAGCCCCGAGGGCAGCCCTTCTTTGTGAAGGAAGTGCCTTCAAGAAGGTTACAGGCCTTTCGCCGGACAAGTTGAAGGCCAACGACGTGAGTGGCGTGAAGCTACTGGTAGATACACTGGGAGGATCATGGGGCCGTACAGCCATCGAGCAGAAGTACGACACCTTCGAGAAAGCCATTTTTGGAACAGTTCAGAAATCAGATGAGACCAATGACAGCTACTTGGCTCGGCACGACATCCATTTTGAGGAGCTCCTGGCCCAGGGTGTTAGCTTCGAAGAAGTAAGAGCCTATATCCTCCTCCGACAGTCCTCCTTGACCGCAGAAGACCGCAAACGAATTGTGGTGGAGTTGGATGGCCAGCTAAACTACAAGAAAGTCTGTGCATCTGTGAGACTGTTGGGGTCCCGGTTCTTTGCAGATTTTCAAGGACAGAGGGGCACCCTGAAGACCAAAACCTATGATGCTCATATGGTTGAAGATGTACCAGCCGAAGAACCGGAGCGCGCATATCAGGCAAGCGCGCCTCCTGCCGCCGAGGAGCCCGAGGAGTTGGACTCCGAGTTCGTCGAGGCCATGGTAGCTGCAGAGGATCAGGATGCATTGCAGGTCCAGGCTTTTGAGGAGGAGCTAGAGGGCTTCTTCCAGGAGACTCCGGAGCTTCAAGAAGCTCTGGTGTCATACCTTGAAGCCCGCTCAAGGCTTCTGGCCAAACGGAAATCTCGTGGATTCTGGCCGGTCCAAGGATCCAAGAGTGCTAAGGGTGGCAAGAGCTTTAAGGGAAAAGGAAAGGGCAAATCGGCAAAGGAGCAGTTGCTCCAGAGGATCGCAAGGAGTCACTGCAGAGCCTGTGGGGAACGTGGACACTGGAAAGCTGAGTGCCCTAAGCTCGGCAAGCCTGGCTCGAAGTCCGAGGCTACAACGACAGTGGCACAGGCATCCACTGATGCCTTTGGAGGTCCTCTTGGTGACGAGATCCTGACCGAGCTCCCCGAGGAAGCAATCACCCTAGCCGAGGCCTTCTGCACAGTAGAGAGTAGAGGTTTCCCAAGACCCAACCTCGTTCACAATAAGCTAAAGCAGATGATTAAGAACCTTAAGAGCCGCTGTCCTCCCGCCAAACATGTCCTCAGGCAGCGCATCGCCGGGACAACGCCTGGGACTGAAGCCCTGAATCAAAGCTTTAGGCCTGTAAATGAAGAGCCCATCCGCTCACCAGAGTCTGCCATGTCGGCAATCACCCGAGTTGAAGCCATCCTGGACACCGGAGCGAGCCGGTGTGTTATCGGTAGCGCGTTGCTGCCTCAGTTCCTGAGCCAGCTGGACAGCGGGGTCCGATCTCAAGTTAGAACCCTGAAGAGCTCTGTGAAGTTTCGGTTTGGGAACAACCAGACTTTGACTAGCGATAAACGGGTTCTTCTTCCGATTTGGACCATAGGCTGTCAGGTTTTGTGGCTTGGGATAGAAGTCGTTCGTGGGCACACACCCTTCCTTTTCAGCAAGAAGGCCATCAAGCAGCTGGGAGGCATCATAGACACGACTAGGGATGTGTGCCTATTCAAGCGACTGCAAAGGCAAGTGCCTTTACAGACCGGAGCTACAGGTCTGTACCTGCTCGACCTCGCCCGTCTCTGTGAGGAAAGCTGCTCAGGGATGCCAGTGCAATGTGTGAGCGAAGATTCCCCTGAGCTAATCTCACTTGAGCCAGAGCCCTCTGCGAGCCAATGCATGAATGTGTCCCCGCCCCTAGAGCAGATCTCCCCAACATGTACAGCAGAGTTAGAGTCTAAGGGGTCGTGCAAGGGGTCGAATTCACAAGTGATTAGGTTCCGTAAATACCCGGAACAGGTTAATGATGCCCTATCAAGAAGTGTTTGTCTTGATAGCCTGGGAAAAACCAAGCCACCAGTCGAACTGATCGTGCAATCAACCAATCTGTCAGTTCCAGCCGTGACTGCTTCAGCAACAATCCCGAAGTCCTCACTCTCTCCAAGTCCCGTGCGTGATCATGTCCGAGATTCCCGCGTGCGCCTCCCCAGTGAGCCTCGCCAATCGCTTCGCTCGCCTCTCAGATGCCACACTGAACGTCACGATGGCAGAAGTCGAGGCCATGACTCTGCAGGAGCACGGTCAAATGATCGTGACCTTCGGCACGAAGGTTCGCGGCCGCCGTTTCGAAGAGGTTCTCGAAACCGACCCAGCCTGGGTGAGATGGTGCCTGGAGCATCTTGCCGAGAGCACCAAGCATTCGCACAAGGTGTTTTTACGCTACGTGGAGCGCGTGGTGGAGCAAGCAGAATCCATAGAAACCGAGCTGATTGTGCCGCCCTACGGCCACAGTCCGAGGAACGATCGCGGCTCTCTTGCCAAGGCTGCATCCAAGAGCCGAGCTGCTCCCCGTCCGAAAGCAGCACTCGCTGTCGAGGACGATCGCTGGGACATGATCAGCGAATCCAGCGCTGTGCTTCAGACCGAAGTGAATGTGCTCACGGAGCGCATGGCCCACATGGAGAGCATGATACAACAGCTTGCGCAGCATCTGAGCGAAGTGAATGCCCCCCAGAGTCAATCCCCAGGGAAGTAGATGCGTGCAGGGCCGAGTTGAGCGCGTTGATATCCTCCGGTTTAGGTCATGCCAATCTGAGCAGCTTGTCCTGGATAGAGGTAGCCGCCCAGAAACTTCTTGAAGATAAGGCCAATGTGACGGAGGGTAAGCAGCTACTGCGTAGGGTTCCTTGGCATCGTCTTAAGTCAGCCTGTACCAAAGCCAGAACAGTTACCGAGCCTTCGCAGGAAGATCGCACTCGACCGAGCGCCTATGTCATGTTCGGCATGTACGTACATGGGGGTGTCATCGGCATCACTGCAATTTCCAAACAATTTCCGCAATTGACCCGTCTACTTACCAAGATTGTGTACCAAACCGAGCCCGAACATCCCTTTACGTCAATAGGAATCTCCTGCAACACCTCAGTGGAGCCTCACCGTGACAGCTTTAATTCCCGGGTTATTCCGAATCTGGTGGTTCCCATAGACTTTCCAAAAGCTGGAGGGGAAATTTGGGTAGCCACGCCACCTGTCGCTAATCAAAGAGAGGTATCCATGAGCTGTAAGGGCCAGGAGGTTGAGGGATCGCTGCAAAACCTCAAAGGATCGAAGCTGATCGATCCCCACATGTGGCATGCCACGGCTCCCTGGACGGGAGATCGCACAATACTGATTGCTTTCTCCCTGCAAGCTGTGGGCAAGCTAGTGGTTTCTGATCAAAAGACACTAGGAGATATGGGTTTCCCAATATCCAAGGTAATCAGAGCCCAAGTAGAATCCTGTCACTCGAGCATGGAAGAGGTCCCCAGCAATCCTGAACCATCCCCTCTTCGACAGGAACTATTTTCAGCACAGCCCAGCCTTCAGGAGTCCGATCTACTTCCAGCCTCGCTGGAAGCCGCTCATGCGTGTGTTGATGCGTTCTGCAGGGCCCAAGATGTGACGTGGGATGTTTTTCAGGACTCCCTGTTGACTTATCAGCAGCCTTTAGAAGCTCAGCTAGATCTTCTTGAAGTAAGCTTCAATAAGGATGGTCGGCTAACTAAAGCAGTTCAGGAAGCTGGAGGCAGAGCCCAAAGGTTTTCGTGTGCAGACAACGACCTCACTTCTCCTGAGGGTCAAAGGGTCCTGTGGGACCTGTTGCAACGAGCTCGACCGAAGCATCTCTGGCTGTCGCCTGATGCCCGATTGTGGAGTGCATGGGCGCATTTGAATGCCTCTCGCAGCCCTGAGTATCGGAACAAGCTTCTAAGGGAAAGACAGTCACAACGTACCGTGTTTCAACTTATGGTAAAGATATTTGAGTGGCAGAAACAACAGGGGTGTGAGTTTCACATGGAGCAGCCCGCCAATTCCCAGATGATGAAAGAGTCCACCCTACAGCCACTTTTCGCTAGGACGTACAAAATCAATGTAGACTTGTGTGCCTTCGGTTTGAAAACTCCTTTGAGCCAAAAGCCCATCCGCAAAACCACACAGGTCCTAAGCACCAGCGCAAGCTTGATAAAGTCCCTAGTCCAGAAGCAGTGTCCTGGTCACACCAGTCATCAACCAGTGGCCGGTAAGTTGCGTGAGCTTGGAGGGGTGAGTGTTTCCCAGTACGCTGGAACGTTCTGCCGTGGTTTTGCTGACCACTGTGCCGAGCATCTGCTGCAATCCACATCCCCAGACCAAGCCTTAGCCTTAGAGAACTTATTGCCCATGACCCGTAAGCGATTTAAGAGTTCTAGTGGGCTCGGGAAACCCGTGCACTCCCTGCCTAGTCAAAAGCGTGCAGCAGATGATGCGCAGGAGAGTCCCCAGCGCGACCAAGTGCGTCGTCGACTGGATGTCTTGCAGCCGCAGTCTGGGCAGGCCGCCACTGAATTGCCCGTGTCCACGTGGGAAGCCATCTTTCAGATGGCTCAGAATTGTGCCCAGAAGGTCACTCCAGTTTTAGTTCCACCACAGCATGATATCATTTCTGCCATAAGTCAGGCTCTCCCACAGTATCAGATACTTCAGGTGTTTGCAAGTTCAGGAGGTAAGAGCTTACATCACCCGCTTGGAGCCTTGCCTTCCACTGTGGCCCCGTGGAGAATCAGTCTCTGCTCTCGCAAGAGTAGTCAAGGAGACCTGACGTATCATTGCCTGGGCACGGACAATCGCACCACGATGCCGATTGACCGTCGCCGACAACGGATTGCCCAGACCAGCTTCATGCTTACTGTGTTTGCCCAAAGGCTGCCTACGGAAGTACCAACTGAACCTGAATCCAATGGAGCTTCACGGCAATCTGATCAGTCGACGACCCCTGACCTGGAGGGTTGGGGACCGCCGCCGGTGCCTCTACATGGTCCTGCTTTCCGAAGTCTCTCCAAAGAGGATAAAGCCCGTCTTCGCCGAATCCATAATAACTTGGGACACCCTGTTCCCGAGGTTCTCAGTCGACATTTAAAGGCCGCCGGTGAAAACTCCTCTTTGGTAGATGCTGCGCTGGACTTTCAATGTGATGTCTGTCTGGAGTCCACTGAGCCTCGCCATCAGAGACCGAGCAAGCTTCCTGAGCCTAGGGATTTCAATGACTTAATTGGGGTAGACGGTTTCTTCTTCAAGAGTAAGTCCGGGTATAGGACCTATGCTTTACATGCTCTTGATGAAGCTAGCTGTTTCCAGCAAGCGCGCCGTGCCCCGAGTCGCCTGGGACAACATGCAACACAGGTTCTGAATGATTTCTGGGTTAGTTGGGCTGGGCCTCCTCAGCAAGTATATCTTGATCCCGCCGGCGAATTCAGATCAGAACAAACCCTTGAATATTTCCAACAGATGAATACACGCGTTTGGGTAACCGCTGCCGCTTGGCAGAGAGGTAGACTAGAGAGACATGGGGACATTTTGAAGGATACGCTTGCGCGCATGGATATCGAGAGTCCCATTGTCAACGATGCTGCCTTTGACCAAGCCCTTCAACAAGCGGTTTTAGCAAAGAACTCCTTAGTTCGACATGGTGGGTTTTCACCCGAGCAAATAGTCTTCGGGAAATCACTTCGAGTGCCAGGGAGTATCTCTTCTGACGAAGAAACTTCAGCACATATCTTGTCTGAAGGTGCTGATCTGGAGTCTGAGCTGTATCGTCAGAAGTTAGAGCTACGCTGCCGGGCCAGACGGGCCTTCATGGATGCAGATAACTCCCAAGCAATTCGTCGTGCCTCACTCCGGAGAAGCAACCCCTCTCGGGGACTGTACAATGCTGGCATGTGGGTCCTATACTGGATCATCGCCAAACCGGTTGGCTGCAGGTCGCTGGCATGGGCCAGCTAAGGTTATCTGTAGCGAGGGTAAGTCGGTGATTTGGTTAGCTCACGGGACTAACATCATAAGATCGGCACCTGAGAACTTGAGACCTGCTTCTTTGCGTGAGTGGCAACACCTGTCAAGGGCACAGCTGGAAGAGCCATGGAAAAATGTAGGTGGGGCTAGTTCTTTCCTAGATTTAACAGGTGTGTCCAATGCCGAGCCTGCGCCAATGTCCAACCTGCCAGCGGTGTCCGAGACCTCTGTCCTCGTGCCTCAGCCAGGTGCATCTGGTGCTCCAGCCACCAGCCCAAGTAATGTTCCCGATGAAGTACCCCAGCCCGAACAGGAGTTGACCCCGCAAGTGAGTCAGGAAGCATCTGGAGTTGAGCGCGATCCGCTTCTCGGAAACGCTGCTCCTTCAGACACTGTCCCAACGATAAGTTTACCTGCCGATGATCCCAATCCACAGACTACACCTATACCCGATTCGGATGAAGGGCTAGTCAGCGATCACTTGTTTGTCTCTCAACAAGAATCCGGGATCCTTGATGAACACGGTCACGAGCTTCTAAACTTCACCACAGTAGAGACTTCAGAAGACGCTGTAGGGCCCCCGCTAGCAGAAGATAACCTTCCCTACATCCTTGAGCCTCTATGTCCCACAGAGCATCAAGCGTACTGCTTAGAAGTTCCCCTTAAAGCAAAAGACGTGCGTCGCTGGATGAAGGAGGAGGTGTCAGAGCAATTTGCAACGGTTGCCGCTGCCAGCAAACGAGCTCGTGCCGAGGTTTGCTTGAAGGATCTTACAACAGGTGAAAGAGAACTATTTGAAAGGGCTAAAGAGAAAGAAATTTCCTGTTGGTTGCAGACGTCTGCAATTCGGGCTATCCTTCGCCGAAAGTTGAATCCTGAACAAACCCTGAAGAGCCGATGGATTCTAACGTGGAAGGCGCCTGAAGAAGGAGAGCACCAACAGAGAGCAAAGGCGAGACTAGTTGTGTTGGGTTTTCAGGATCCCAAGCTGGTAGAAGTAATGCGAGACGCCCCAACCCTTTCTCGAGAAGGTAGAGCCTTGGTCCTTCAAACAATAGCTTCCAAGAAGTTCAGACTTGGATCATTCGACATCAAGACAGCGTTTCTTCGAGGAAAGGCCGACGCCAATAATCCTCTGGCGATGGAGCCCCCTAAAGAGCTACGCAAAGCCCTAAATCTACAAGATGATGAAGTTTGCGAGCTTCTGGGCAATGCCTATGGTCGAGTCGATGCTCCGTTGCTGTTCTACAAAGAACTAAGCCAACAGCTTCTGAGCCTTGGTTTTACTCGCCACCCTCTTGAGCCCTGCGTCTTTCTTCTTTACACACAGGATCATCTCCATGGTATCCTTGGAATGCATGTCGATGTTGGGGTATGTGGGGGGGATAAAGTCTTTGCCCAGAAAGTAGAAGCGCTTCAGAAAACACTACCGTTTGGCAGCCGAAAGCATGACCGATTTACATTTACCGGAATTTATCTTGAGCAGCTGTCTGATTACACCATTCGAGCAAATCAGGGGGATTATGTTCGAAACATTTCTCAGATTGACATCGGTCGCTGTCGTCGTCAAGCTCCGGACGCAGAAATCAGTGAAGCCGAGCCCTCCAAGCTCAGAGGACTGGTTGGTAGCTTGCAGTATGCAGTAACCCATACCCGTCCCGACATGGCTGCCAAGCTAGGGGAGATTCAAAGTTCCATACCGGGTGCTACCGTCCAAACCCTCTTGTCGGCAAACAAAGTGCTTAGAGAGGCTCAGGAGCAACATCAGGTTCACATAGCCTACTTACCCATCGCGGTTGATAGATTAACGTTTGTGTCCTTCGGAGATGCCTCCTTTGCTTCTTCCAAGAGCCTGAGCTCTCATCAGGGCGCTTTGCTTTGCGCGACAGATGAGCGCTTGCTTGCCAATCAGGAAGCACCACTGTCCCCCTTAAGTTGGTCCTCTAAGAAAATCCCTCGGGTTGTTAGGTCAACTCTTTCAGCAGAAGCTTACGCCATGTCAAAAGCTGTGGACATGCTTGGATGGATGCGAGCCCTTTGGGGTGTAGTTCACATCTCAGGTTTCAAGTGGCAGCAGCCCGAGCTAGGGTATCGCCAGCTTAATCGTGCCGCGATCATCACAGACTGCAAATCGCTCTACGACCTGGTTACCCGGCTAGCAATGCCAGCTTGCGAAGAATTCAGGACTACTCTTGAAGTACTTCTCATCAAGCAAAGGTGCTCGGAAAATACCACCTTCAGGTGGGTGCCGACAACGCTGCAAGCAGGGGACTGTCTGACCAAGCCGATGGACGCTTCGGTTCTCCGGACAATACTGGCGCAGAGTAGATTCAAGTTATATGACGCCACACAGGCCTTGGAGAAGAATGCACAGCGTAAACAAGCCATCGAGTGGCTTGCACAGGAACCTTCGGACAATCTTGCGTAACAGTCAAGCTGGAGAGCTGCTCTCGCTCGAGTCTGGTGGCCTATAAGACTCTCTTCACAACTTAGTGCAGCTAGCACGAACTTTGTTTCAAAGAATTTGGGTCCGTGTGAAATCGGACCTGTCAGGCTGAACATGTTCGTGCACTTTCAGAAGGAACGACCGCCCGCCATCAGGCTCGAGGGTCCTTAGGGCGGGAGGGTCGTGGTGTCGCGCAGCGACACATGGCCCCTTGAGCTTCACGATCAGTGGGACTGGCAGGAAAACAACTGCGCCGGGCGCTCTTGATCTTTCGGGGAACGATCGGTTACTGACGGGGTCAGTCTTCATTCATTCCTTTCTTTTGGACAACTCATTTCTGGATATTCCTTTTCTTGGCAGGGCCAAGGGGTTGCTATCAGTGGGAACTCGCATCGAGTTCACGACCCTAAACCCTAAAAACCCTAAAAGCCCTAAAAGTGCCCTAAGCCCAAAACCCTAAAAACCCTAAACCCTAAACCCTAAAACCCTAAAACCCGAAACCCTAGACCCTAAAAACCCTAAACCCTAAACCCTACAAACCCTAAAAACCCTAAACCCTAAAAACCCTAAACCCTAAAAACCCTAAACCCTAAACCCAAGACCCTAAAAGGAGCTGCACACCATATTGAAGAAAAACACGTCTGCGTGTTAGCGGCCAAGGGTCTTTCCCTTAGGGTCCAAGTACCCAATAATCATATACGTTTAGGGCTTCTAGGGTTTAGGGTTTAGGGTTACTCTCCCAAATAGTAACCTACATAACTACTATCCGAAACCTAAGTACATGATTATTGGGTCCTTTGGGCCCTTGCGGCTTGTTGCAAGAGACATGGCAAACTACTAGACACGAACACTGGCTAAAATGGCATCTGGAAAAGACAGCTAGTATGAACTATAAGCTGGTGGAGACTGAAGATAGGTATGTATATGTACCTAATGTGGAAAATTTGAGGGCAGCCTCGCACGCCGTCTGTTTTTTGTTGCGACAGTCGTCCGAAGCCATCTGTGCGTTGACAGTGGCAAACCTGAGTGTCTTCACCAACAGACCTGTTGTCATGGCTGCCTAAAACCTAAACCCTAAACCCAAAACCCTAAATTGCAGGACTGCTAGTGGAATTCGCCAGCACAGACTGTTGCCATGACTGCTAGCAGTGCTACCCGTTGATCTGTCCCTACATACTGCCTTTTCGTATGCTGTGAACCCTAGTAAAGTAAAGAATTTGTACGTTGTATTAGTTCAAGATAGGTGGAAGGCAAGCCGAAACAACAGCATCGAGGCAGACAATCGGACGCGCATCCAAGCCCTAGGCTACTAGACCCTACAAACCCTAGCAGCCCTAAGGCTTGAAACCCTATAACCCTAAACCCTA